ACTTCTATTGATTTTCCTATCTGTTCTTCGAACATCCGATTTACTAGGTGATGATAAATGGCACCAGTGTTCTTTAGTCCGAACGACATTGCGTTATAACAATAGGTGCCAAATTTAGTGATAAAGGAAGTCTTTTCTTAATCTCTCAGGTCCATCCGGATTTGGTTGTACTCGAAATAGGCATCGAGAAAGCTGAGTATCTCGTGCCCGACCGTCGCATCGATCATGCGATCGATGTTAGGCAAAGGAAAAGAGTCCTTAGGGCATGCCTTGTTCAAATATTTTTAATCTATGCACATTCTTAATTTATTTTCTTTTTTGGCACTGCCACTATGTTAGCTAACCAATCCGAGTACTTAACTTCCCGAATGAACATATTTTAAGGTGTCTGGATACCTCGCCTTTGATGAATGCATGCTTGACTTCGGACTGAGGCCTCCTCTTCTGTTTAACCGGGTGGAACTTCAAATCGAAGCTCAGCTTATGAGTGGTTATCTCTGGCGGGATCCTTGTCATATCAAGATGGGACCAAGAAAAACAATATATGATAGTTATAAGGAATTCAATAAGTTTTTTCCTAAGCTCGAGAGTTAAAATCGTGCCGAGGTATACCTTCTAATCGGTCAACTATTTGATCAATATGACTTGCTCCAGCTCCTCAACCATTGACCTAGTGGCATCGGAATCATTAGGGGCGATGAACGACCTAGGGACTCCGTAATCATCATCCTCGCCTGCTCATTTCTTCTTCGGTTCGGTCGGGGCTGATATCGGTGATTGCTATTTAGTTTCTTCCTTCCTTACTGGCTCTATGTTCTTTGATATCGAGAGTGCAGACATCGAGATCACCTCATCAATGTGAATATTTCTTTTGCGGGAGGCTGCTCCCCAGAAACTGTCTTGATTCCTCCCAGTGTGGGGAGCTTCAGTGTCTAGTGTAGTGTCAAGGGTACTTCCCTCATGTTGTGAATCCAAGGCCTTCCGAATAAGGCGTTATACCTCATGTCCCTCTCGATCACGTAGAATTTGGTATCCCTAATTGTCCCGATGGTATTGACGTGCAAGTTTATTTCTCCTTGGGTAGTTTCATATGCCATGTTGAATCCGTTTAAAACTCGAACTGCTGGCACTATTTGGTCTTGTAGACCCAACTGCTTTACGTCCCTTGATCTGATGATGTTGGTCGATCTACTTGGATCAATCAATACACGCTTAACTCGAGATTTATCTATAAGTACAGATATTACCAGTGCATCATTATGCGGTTGTACAATGCCTTTGGCATCCTCATCGTTGAAAGAAATGGTTCCCTCCGGGGTATATTCTCGGGTTCGTTTTTCCCTTATGATGGACAACTTAGTGCACTTTAGAATTGGCCCTCGGGGGACATCGACTCCTCTAATGATCATGTTGATGACGTACTAAGGTTCTTCTTGTTTGGTGTTTGTTGGAGTCCTTGTTCCTGAAATGATTTTTGGCTCAATCACTCAGAAATTCCCGAAGATGCTTGTTATTGAATAGCCGAGCCACTTCTTCTCTTAATTGTCGGCAGTCCTCGGTCCTGTGGCCATAAGTGCCATAATACTTACACATCAGGTTAGGATCTCTCTAGGTAGGATCGGATTGCAATAGCTGAGGCCACTTGGTATCCTTGATGCGCCTGATGGCATATACGAGTTGAAGTTATATTCTGATAATCTTGGTACCCCCTGGCCCCGATCGGCCAATCGAAACCATTTTTGCTCATGAGTCCCGGCTATTATGGCATCGATCGCTCCTCTTCTCATTTCTTGTAAGGTTACACCCAGATCCGTTACTCCTTCAATCTTCACTATACGGTTATACGAGTCTCTGTTCGATCTTGGTTCATGGTCGACGAATCTCTTAGACCTGTCATTAGTTCTGATGGGATAAACGGACCCGGAGGGGCCCTGAGCTGATCATCCTCGACTTATATTTTTGAATGGTACTTGTTATGGACGTCGGCCCAAGTTACCACCGAGAACTCTATCAAATTTTATTTCAGCTGCTACGAAGACAAGGATCTTCGGGGGTTAAGTCATTGTGTGAATGACTGAATGACCCAATCATCTGCAATTGGAGGCAAGTCCATCTGTTCCATTTGAAACCTCAATACGAACTCCTTGAGCATCTTATTGTCTCTTTGTTTTTCCTTGAAAAGATCTGATTTTCTGATCTCGACTTTGATGGCCCCGACATGTGCTTTCACAAAGGCATTTGCAAGCATAGCAAATGAATCTATATAATTTGGGGGTATGTTGTGATACCATATCATTTCTCCTTTTGACAGGGTTTATCCGAACTTTTTTAGCAAAACCGACTCGATTTAATCATCTTCTAAGTCGTTTCCCTTGATGTCACACGTGTAGGAGGTCACGTGCTCATTTGGGTCCGAGGTTCCATTATACTTTGGAATATCGGGCATACAGATCTTCTTCGGGGTTGGCTTCGGTGCCGCGCTCGGAAGGAAAGGCTTTTGGACAAATTTCTTAGAGTCCAGGCCTTTCAATATTAGGGGCGCTCATGGTATTTGATCGACTTTGGAGTTATAGATCTCCACTTTTTTGTCTTTGGCCTCAGTTTTCTTTCCCCCCGATTCCACCCGCTTTGTTAGTTCCTCAAGAATTTTTATTATTTCGGGGTTGGTCCCAGGCTTAGCTTCATCCGGCCTTTTTGTGGCTTGCTCATTTCTTCGATTATTTTCCCGAGATGGTTCAGGCTCAAATCTGTTGGTGGCGTGACTTTGATTCTGCAGCTGTGCTATTGCTGCTTATTGGGCCTGTAACATTTCAAAGATCACCCGCAGATTGATCCCATCGCATTCACCTTCGAGCGTACCTCGAGTTGTTGGATGGGCTCCTCCACTAACGTTGTTCTCAGGGTCGGTCGGTAGGTTGGCGTCGATAGCCACATGTGAGTTGGCGTCGACTAGGTCTGCAACTGGGACTCCACTGGGATTAGCAGGGGGCACCTCATTGCTAGGCATTATATTATTTTTTTCACCGTGATGGCCAAATTCAGCATCAACGTTCAATTTAGCAGACTGAGAGTTTGACATTTTTAGGGTAACCTGAAATTAAAATCCCAAAGAACAAGCGTAAAACAGAGTGTATTATCGAAATTTGTATCAAATTACAACTACTATCCATTTCCCCACGGTGGGTGTGAAACTGTTTATCCTTAAAATAGATAATAATTGAATTTATACGTGATTTTAAAGATATGTGGATTAGTCCAATACAAGTGATCAATAATGTCAGATAAGCAAATGAAAGATACCCCAGGTCCAAAAATAAACTTTCTCTCTTGGCGCATGATTGCGTGCATGCTATCCTGCGCTGATCAAAAATGGGGAGGGGACGACCAAAGAAAATGGTAACAAAGGTTCAACTAGCTAAATTCATAGCATCAGGAAGTAGAAATGGAAATCTGGGGAGGAATTGTGAAATTTATTCGCAAAAAGTAGCCCTAAGCTGTGACAAAAGAACACTAGTGAGCTCGACAAATACGGCAGGTCGAACAACATGCAGCTGAAATTGACACAGGATCTGGGACTTTCGAGCCCTAGCATGAGGAATTCTACACCTCAACCAGCTGCTGGGAAGACAGGTATGGGTAATTTGAAGTGAGAACTATTCCATTGATTACTGTTTCATCAATGGAAGAACCAAGTAGTATAAAAGAGAAGAACACCATACAGGAAACGAGTAGAACAAAGCTCTCAAAGGAACAACAAGTACAGAATCAGAGTTCAACAAAGACAACAGATCTAGAGGCGGATAAAGCAGAGATTGGACAAAATGAGAAAAAATGGACAAACTTATTCACTGGAAACAGAATGGCTGCAAGAGGAATGGATCTGGTTTTCATACCTCCTACCATTCATGATGGAGTCAAAAAGTTTCAATTGCAACAGGAGGAGATGGAAGTGGAAAATGCGAAATGGCAAAAGGCGATAATAGTGTATGTAATTGAAGATTCACCTTCAATAGGATCCATGGAGAGATTCATAGCTAATCAGTGGAATTTTGCTGCGAAACCTGCAATTTACTATCACAATGAGGGTTATTTCGTTATCCTATTCAGCAGCATGGATGATAAGAATGCAGTCCTATATTCAGGACCATATATAATGGGAGCAAAGCCTTTGATCCTAAAGTCATGGTCAGAAGATTTCAATCTGTATAATGAAGTTTGAAGACTATTCCACTGTGGGTGAGCTTCCCTAATCTTCCTTTGAATTATTGGGGAAGGATGACTCTAAGTAGAATTTCCAGTGGACTGGGTTCTCCTCTATATGCTAATGAATGTAGAAGTAATGCATCTAGAATTTCTTATGCCCGAGTACTTAACGAAATGGACATCAGTAAGGAGTTACCCAAAAGCATTAAAATACAAGATCCTGTAGGAAAAGAGTTTGAACAACTGGTAGACTATGATTGGGTGCCAAAGTATTGTAAAAAATGTTTGATGGTGGGACATAACTATAAGGGAGAACAAGGAAGAGCTGGAGCAACCAAAAGCAATATGCAAGGTGAGCAGCAACAGCAAAGACCAGTAATGCCTAAGCAACAAGGATGGAATGGTATTGTAAATGGTAATATGCAGCAGCCAAAGAAACCAGTAACTCAATGGGTGGCAGTAGGGCCAACAAAACAAATAAGGAAGGACACAGGCAAGCAGATAGCTCAAGAGCAACAAAATGATCCACAGAAGCCTAATGCAGATCAGCAAGGGTAGACAAAAGCTAAAGGTAGAGGAGGAATGACAAGTCCAATACAGCAAGTACTCACTACTAATAATGGATTCTCTCCACTAAGAGAGGAAACAATGGAAGGTCGTACAAGCTGGGCAGATGATGGTAAAGCTGGAAATAGTATGGGAGAAGAAGAAGGGAAAGCACCACCTAATCCAAAATCTATATGAAGATAGTCACTTGGAATGTGAGGGTCTTTAATAAGGTACATAAGCAGAAGGAGATGAAAACTTTCTTGCAAAAACATAAAATTAGTCTTATAGCAATAGTAGAACACATAGTACAGACCAATAAAGAAAAAGAGATCACCAATAAATGTGCACCTGGATGGAGTTGGTGTTCCGATAGTTCAACTAATGAGAAAGGGAGAATATGGATTCTATGGGATACTAATAGTATTCAGTTCACTCTGATTCGGAAGCATGCTCAATACATCCATGGTAGCAAACAAATTCCTTTCATAGCCATTTATGGATTGCATACCATTGCTCATAGGTGTGACATGTGGGAAGCACTAAGGAGGATAGATTCTCAGTTGACTAACTCCTGGATAATCATGGGAGACTTTAATGCAATAAGGGATATTGAAGATAGGGTAAATGGCATAGTGGTACAGGAAAATGAGATCAAAGACTTTAGATCTCTAATGGAGGACTGCAGATTGAATGAACTTGGTACTGTGGGTAGATCTTATACATGGACAAATAGCCATGTTTATAGTAGAATCGACAGAGCCATAGTCAATGCACACTGGATGATAAACATGCCTCCAATGCAAGTACATGTGATGGATCCTCAGTTCTCTAATCACTCTCCACTATGTATAGAGCTGGAAAGAGAACTGGAACATAAAGGGAGACCTTTCAAATTTTTTAATTGTCTTGCTGAGCATCCAGATTTTGATAGTATAATTAGAGACAGATGGAATAAGGAGAACAGAAGTATGAAAGATATCTGGCACAATTTAAAAAGTGTCAAAGTGGCCCTTAAGAGCCTAAACAAAAAGGAATTTACTAGTACAACAAACAAGGTTCAACAATTGAGGGAGGAGTTAGCCAACATTCAAGCACAGATTGTCGCGCCCCCTTTTTCTAGAGCGAAATCGGGTTTATGACATTTGGAGGGACAACTCATTCCTTTTGGAAATTGGGTTTACGTTTGAAGAGTCGCCACCTAATGATTAGGGTGCATTAGGACACCAAAAGAGTTTGATTTTGAATAACCAGAGATTAGGGTAAGGGCTTAAAATTATTTCAAGGGAAAGGTGTTAGGCACCCCTCAGAATCCACTAGTGTGGTTCTCGGCCAGACAATTATTGTGAATTAACATGTAGACAAATAAGGCTCAAATAAGAGAGGGTTTCATATAATGGTTTGCAAATAAACAAAGTTTGGAAGAGCAAAGAAAGCTTTTTTTTTAACGAAGGAGTTGAAATGATAAAAGAAATAAAGAAATAAGGGAAAGGGGTCCTAGGTTTATTAACAATATGGATCACCTTACACAATGCCCGGTAATCACTCCTCAATGAGGGGCTACACGTGACATTATCGCGTGGTCATCATATCCATATCTACACTTCCCACCCTGTTAAGGTATTTAAAGTGCAGATTGGTCTCATTTACTTATTGCATGCTATTACCCATCCCAATCCTATCAGTCCTGGAGGCATTTAGGACTACTAATCCTAAAAGAGAGGGATATTAGGCTTATTTGTAGTTTCAAAGGAAAAAAAACTCTAAGGAGGCATACAAAACACATATTACAAATTGAGGAAATCATATAACAAGTAGAGGCTCAGATATACCTCCTTAAACAAAGAAGCACGTAATCAGTATGAATTACACATACTGTTTAGTTCTGATTTAAAAGGTATTAAAGACGAGTAAGAGGAAATTGTTGAGACAGTTTCAGCTTATCACATAACTCAGATAAGAAGTATGAATCAGGCATGTCTGCTGGTTGTAATTATTAATAGAAGCAGATTCAGTTTATATTTATTACTCTAGGGCTTGCCTAAGTGTTGGACAAGGATCCTATAAGCATGGTATCTACTGGATTCAGAAAGCAATGAAACAGTAAGGCTCGAAATGAATTGTTTGAATGCATACTCGTTAAACTTGCTAAGTGAGGGAATCAGATTATTGAAAGAGAGAGGCAGAATTTAAAGAAATTGATTACAAGTTCTGCAAACGATAGCAGCCATTACTACTGGTTTTATATATAACAATGAGTGAGGCGAATCAGATTTTTTATTAGAAACTCATATAGGCATGTTTTCTAGGCGTTACTGATTTTAAGACCTTGTAGACGTAGCGTCGAAATGCAGAAGCCTTATAGACATGATTCCTAAGTGAAGTTTGAATATGCAAAATCCTATAGCCATGATTTCTAAGTGAAGTTAAATATGCAGAATCCTATAGACATGATTTCTAAGTGAAGTTTGAATATGCAGAATCCTATAGACATGGTTTCTATATGAGGTTGAATATACAGGAATATAGTAGTCCTATAGTCATGATTTCTAGCCTTTGCATACATAGTTACCCACCCTTTTTCACTAACCAGCCCCAAATGTTTATTACAAATTATTACAAACCAGAATAAATAAAATTACATCAAGAAAAGTAAAAAATTACAACTAGAGGAAGCCTGATTCTGACTTCCTCTCTGAGTTACATGATAGAACCAACTCAAAGACCATTAATACAAAGCCTTTCTCCAATCTGAGTGTGTCAAAGTTTCCTAAGAGCCTCAATGGGACACCGGGCAATGCTCACACCCAAATTGTATTATCAGAATGGGGATAAGTGCAGTGTGGAAGGGTCAGCCCTCAAGTGTCCAAGTTCAGAGGGAGCTCAAAGGGTCCCAAGGCAAGGCTCACAAGAGGGGGCAAAACTTAAAGTCTAAGAGAGAGTGCAAGTGAGGAATAGAGTTCTAAAAGGGTGAAGGAGAGGGAAACAGCTACAAACAAGTACACAAAAGGGGTTCAGGGGAATAGGGAAGTTGCAAAGAGTCCATGTGCTTAGACATTTAGCTAATTCTGGGCATGCACAACAATAGAGAGTGTTGTTATGCTTACAAATCAACAAGGATACACAACATAGGATAGTGACATGGAGGTTATGATTCCAGGGGAATCAAGTTTGGGTCATAGACAATAATACTTAATACTGTCATACCTCAAACAAACCATTAGCATCAAACATATTAGGGTAGGGGGTTTGGGATTCATAATAGGAAGGAAATTACAACATGCTAAAGTAAATTCCGAACTAAACACAAGCAATAGGCAGACATGCAAGTGAAGGTATTAAATAAACACATTGTTGTGGTTGCTGAAAACCTTAATCAGGACATACCAGTTTCAAAGGAGCAAAATACAGCAGTAGCAGTACTTGAAAGAAAATAGGCCACTGTACAAGCAACAAGAGAGAGAGTGCTTTTTGAATGTAAGTGTGAGTTCAGAAAACTAAGAGTGTTCGTATGTCTATGTCAATGAAAGAGCATGGTATTTATAGTTTGAAAACAGGCAGAGAATAAGGCAAGAAAATAACCATGTACCAATTAAAATCAATCAGTAGAAGAACTTCCTTTAATTAAGGAGTTCAAACTTAAACTGTAATGAACAGAAATCATTTAAGGAAAGAGATCAAATAGGCATCTTGTGCAAAGTAGACAATTAGTGGTAAATACATAGGAGTTTAATTAAGGGAAGGATCTTTAAAATACACGGTTAAACAAATAAGGTAAGAATCAATCAGTACATAGTAAATCAAGAAGTCAGAGATTCGAAATTACTGGTTCATGAATAAACCAAGTCAGAAAGGCTAAGGAAAGTTTTCAAATCAAACCAAGAAACAGAGAAATTAGTAAAACAAGGAAAGAATCAATCAGACTTACACAAGGAGGTCTGAATTCAGTTAAAAATTGAAAGTTATTCTAGAGGGGAAGCTCAGCATATATAAAGAGCACACAAGTATTAGGCATGCGAGGCTGAATTTAGAACAAAGAAAAGTGTCAAGCAATTACAAAATCAGTAAGTAGTGGACTATAGGAACATGTTAGTCACATAGGTCAGTTTCAGTAACTCAGCAATGGAGAAGGGATAAAGTATCAAATAGCATGCAGAGGGTCTAATAGAAAGACCTTAGAAGAGTTTAGCAGGGATTCAGAATCATATAAAGAAACAAAAGATTTTGAAATTCAGTCGAGCAACAGATGAAACAACTTTAGAAACTCAAATAGGTCCAAAGAAATTAGGGTTTTAAAACCAAACAAGTTCGGAGATGAGGAACAAACAAATCACATAGCAAATAATATCATAACTCGAATGAACCCCAAATCTTAGGGTTTTTGCCATCAATCGAGTGTAGAGGTGAAAGACAAGAGAATCGGGCAAAAATATCAACAAAGAAATTAAAATCGGAAACCCTAAGAAAGAACTTAAGACTTTAACATAAAGAAACACAGTAGAAGAATCAACATAAGAAACATAGTAGAAGAACAACATAAGAAACACAGTAGAACATGCTAAAGATCAGAGAGACTTCTAAATATCTTGCCAAAATCCTAAATCGGAAAAGATAAAGGTTTTGAAAGCAAAGTTTTGAAAGAAACTTTGAGAAAGCGTTTGAAAGTTTAGGGAAAACACAGATATAGAACAGATCTATAGAAATCAGAAGAACCTCAAAAGTTAGGGTTTCAGAAGAACCCATATGGTGAGAAAGGCTTGGAAAGTCATTGATCTAAGTAGGAGAAGTCGAGATCAGGCTCGAATAGCCATGGCTGGCCGGAGGAAGGTCGGAGACGACCATAAAACTCGAATCGAACAAAGTCTGGGCCAAGCTTCTTCAGGGTCATGCCTTGAAACTATAGTAACCAGGCATGTAGGAGTTATAGGAGACCGGTATAGGACTTCAATGGCCTTAGAAGCCATTGATTCCAGTGATTTTAGGGTGGAAGCGGAGGGAGGCGGCTAGGGTTTGAGGGGAGCTTGAGAGATAAATAGGAGAAAGGGGGGTTCAAGGGCGGCTACAGAAGGGAAATGATTAGGTTTAGGGGTTAGGTCGGGTTAAAAAAGGAAGGGGTTAAAGGTGGTCGTTGATCATTTTGATCAACGACCTGGATTGAAGGGGAGTTCGGGTGGGTTATTTTAAAGGGTCATGGGTCGAGTAGATTTAGGATTTGGGCTGGGTAATTGGATTTGAAATTGGGTTTAATTGGGGTGTTAAATCTGGCTAAAATTGAAATGCAAATGGGCTAACATTTAAACAGCCATTTTCCCTTATTTATTTTATAAAAAATAGTAAAATAATTTTTGAAAATAAATTAAAGGTACTAAAATAATTAATAATACATAATTATCAAATTAAAAATACTAGAGTCGATTTTATAAATATAATTACAATTAAATTTTGAAAGAGGCCAATATTGCAATTATATGCAATTTAGCTTTAAAATACTAACTAAATTTGTAAAAAATATGCAAAAATTATGCTAGCTATATTTTAATATAAATATAAGAATCCAATAAATGAATCACCCAAAATAATAATTTTGGGGATAATTATTGGGTTTTTTCTTGATAAAATAGGCAATAAATTAATTTAAAAATCTTTAAAAATTAAGAGAAAAATAATAAAACCTTGGGACATAATCTATATATGCGACATGGTAAAAATATATAGAAAAATTGGGTATCAACACAGATGAGAACCATTACAACAACAGCTGGCATGTTTGATTCAGAGAGAAATACAAAAAAGCAACTGGAGAAATGGAGTACAATAGAGGAGGGCATCTATAGACAAAGATCTAGAATCCAATGGCTCCAATTGGGTGATTCCAACACAGCCTTTTTCTTTGCAAGCATGAAAAGGAGAGCAACACAGAATCAGATAAAATTCCTACATGATGACAAGGGAAGGTTGATCAACAAACCAGAAGATATTGAACAAGAAATTGTGGGGTTCTACAAAGGACTGTTAGGGAGTTCCACTAATAGCATACCTGCTATTAATCCTAGTATAATGAGGAAAGGTCCAGGGCTTACAAGATCTCAGCAGCTACAACTTATAGCTCTATTTATTAATGAAGATGTGATGAAGGCACTGCAGGAGATAGGAGACTCAAAGGCACCAAGTGGGGATGGGTTCAATGCATACTTCTACAAGAAGACTTGGCACATAATTGGTAAGGACATTACAAAAGCCGTTTTGGAGTTCTTTAATGAAGGGCTAATGTACAAACCAGTAAATAGCACAACAGTCACTCTGATCCCAAAAGTGAAAACCCCTTCTTCTGTCAAACAGTTTAGACCAATATCTTGTTGTACTATCATATATAAGATTATTTCCAAGATGCTCACAAGCAGATTGCAAACAGTAATGGAGTCCCTAGTTGATATGAGTCAAGCAGCATTTGTACCAGGCAGGATATTGAGTGATAATATTCTACTGGGACATGAACTTGTTAAAGGCTATGGGAGGAAGGGTGTATCACCAAGATGTATGGTAAAAATTGATATGCAAAAGGCATCTGATTCCATAGAATGGAATTTCCTTGAATAAGTGCTCACAGAAATGAATATCCCAGGAAAGTTTTTCTCATGGATCATGGCATGTATAACTACAGTGTCTTATACTATAGTTGTAAATGGAAAGCCAACAAGACCATTTGATGCAAGAAGAGGAGTTAGACAAGGAGGCTCATTGTCACCATATCTCTTTGTTATAGCCATGGAGTATCTCACTAGAATATTAAAGACTCTGAAGGAAAAGCCTGATTTCAACTACCATCTGAGGTGTGAGAAGTTGCATATTGTTCAACTCAGCTTTGCAGATGACTTGTTGATGTTTTATAGGGGTGATGTGGTATCCATTAAACTACTATATGAGTGTTTTGATCAGTTTTCAAAAGCTTCAGGTCTGAGTGCAAACCAGGATAAAAGTTCCATATATTTTGGAGGGGTTACAGAGGATATCCAATAACAAATTATCCAATGCTTAGGTTTTTCCACAGGCTCCCTACCTTTCAGGTATCTAGGAGTCACACTGGGTACTAAGAGGTTATCCATAACTCAATGTCAACCTCTGCTGGATAAGATGCTAGGCAGAATCAAGCACTGGACAACCAAATTCCTATCATATGCAGGAAGATTGCAATTGATCAAAAGTGTACTATTTGTTATTCAATCTTTTTGGTCCCAAATCTTCCCTCTGCCTAAGAAGATCATTCAAGGAATTGAGACAATTTGCAAAAGGTTCTTATGGACAGGAGAAACTGAGAACAAGGCCAAAGCTCTAGTAGCTTGGAAGCAATTGTGTTGGCCAAAATCTGCAGGGGGTTTAAACATAACAGATATCTTAATATGGAATAGAGCTGCTTTGATCAAACATCTATGGAATATAAACAAGAAGAAGGACCGCTTGTGGATACAATGGATTCGCACGTACTATATCAAACAACAGGTAGCATGAAATGTGAAGGTTAAACAAGCTGCTTGGCTCACTCAGAAAATCTTAGGTGCTATTAAATACTTGAATGAGGCAAGTATAGGAATAGAAGAAGTGATGAACATGCGGGAATACTCCATCAGACTGGTATATGATAAGCTCAAAGGTGAACTACCTAAAGTGGAATGGAAGAGATTAATTTGTAACATTAGCAGCCCAAAATGGATATTCAACTTGTACTTGGCAATTCTTGGAAGACTGTACACGAGAGACAAATTACTGGGCTGAGGTATAGCAATTTGTTCAGATTGCTCGCTATGTGGAAGAGCAACAGAAAGCCATGATCATCTATTCTTGAAGTGCAACTATTCAACAGTAATATGGAGAAAGCTGCTACAATGGCTGGGAATAACAAGAGATGTGCAGGGGTGGAATGATGAAATTCAATGGGCTGTAAGACATGCAGCAGGGAAGAAACAAATATATGTAATCTATAGAATGCTGCTAGCTTGTGATGTGTATTACATTTGGCAGGAAAGAAATTGGAGAACATTTCGAGGAACACAAAGGAGCTGTGAGGAGTTAATCAGAATGATAGTTCAAGAAGTGCATTGTCGAGGAAATTTGAATTTTAAGGCAGCTAGGAAATTGCAGGAGTTCAATTTTTATCCATAGACTGTAGCTGAGGAGTCATGAAGGAATGAGGGCACTAGATTTAGGGTTGCATGTCCAAATCTAAGTGAATTTTGAGAGGGTTTTTTTGTTATACTTGTAAATATTTCTCTGGTAATAATAAAAAATTAATTACCAAAAAAAAAAATCAAATGAAAGATATAATAAGAATCCAAACTAGTGGTAGTATTAAATTCGGGCTCGGTTGTTGGACTAACAATTAATCTGCCTTCGACTCGTAGCCAAAATATATATAAAGGTATGAACAAGAATAGAATCTTTGAATAGTTTAGAAACAGAGGAACAAATTTATAATGCGCATAACGATCAACTCCCCCTTTATATTGTAGAGGAGTTTTACCCTAAATACAACTCTAAGAAAGGTAAAAGAATCTTCTTATTCGTTAATCATTGATCAGCTGCTGATACGGGCCAAAATTCACATCGTGATAAAATTCGGGGGCGTTGTCTCCATGGCCTCGATGGTGAGTGCTTCTTCCAAGCCTTAGTGCTAGAGGTTTCTAGCTTCGATCTCGATTCCGAGTAGTTATGTTATTGTTTTGTTTCTTCCACTGGGAAATCGAGGTGTTTGCTAGTCCTGGTTTTACCCGTATACAATTTTCTTCCTCTTTATGTCTCTTTTTTTTTTATCTAATCTTTTTCTGGGAATTAGTTTGTGCAAGAATTGAAAATGGAGGATGAAGAGATAGGAGAAGAAGAGTAGAGAGAAAGTAGAGTAATTTCGTGGGGTTGTTTTGTGAGTGACAATCCATACACATGTGCTGACATGGTCGGAAATGCATCGTACTAAGTTTGGAGTTCACAGTTAACTAAAAGCTGACATTAGATGAGCTATTAATTTATTAATTATCCCGCCAGAAAAATTAGGGGCAGACATAGTTTGGGGAAATCCGAATTTGTTTCAGTTTGGATTTTCCGATTACGGGTTTAATTTTTAAAAGTTTTGAATTTTGAATTGGATATTGAATTTGGTACTTGAATTTTTTGATATCCTAAAAATTCAAATATTTAGTCCATTAACCATATGCAAATAGTAATAAGTCCAATACCATATCCATTAGATATTATCTCATATATTCAATACTGATTATTAAATTACTATAATACTTTTTAATTGAACATAATTTTACTATTTCTTATTTTTATTAGTCTTATTAATATTTTTGTTGCATTTCTTGGATGATGATTTTATTACTTATACTTTATTTGGATGATTGCGGCGAGAATATAGAACTTTTTAGGCAATTTAATATGAATACTTGGTTTAGATGTTATTTTTGTAAGAAGAAGAAACACTTCAACTAATAGGCTCAAAATCGAAAATATGAAGAAACTTCTCAACTTATAGGCTCAAAATCGAAAATTCAAAATATCCAAACCGATTAATTCGAAAGCGAACTTAAAAACTCCGATCCAATCACCGGTAATGTTTCCACCTGCCGACCGCTTCACCACCACCTATTCTTCAAATTCCAGAAAACACTTCACCACCTAAGGTACTTCATCTCTGCCAATGCTTCCACCTACACCAACTTCCTAAATTATAGGAAAACTACTCCATGAAATTTTCTCGTCATTAAGTAACATGAAGCAAATTTGGAGACCAAGCTATTGGAGTATGAATTGTTTGTCTTTACCTGTAACTTGAGCTGGTAAACTAAGATCGAATTGAGATGCCGTTGGAGTGGTAAAGGTGCATAAATTGTCGTTCTTCACTGCTTCACTTGGAATAGTTTCGTAAAATCCCCAATGGTAAAAGTACAAAAATTTGTCGTCCTTATTGTCATGTTCTGCTTCCATTCGACCGATTTCGAGCCACCGATTGATATCCACGTTTGTTAGATTTTACGTTTTTTTTTTTCGGTGGCAGTTTTCTTTATTCTTGTTTTTTTTTGCTTTGAAAAAGGTTATGATATGGACTTTGAAAGACGAGGAAGATGGACAAAAATTTTGGACAATAATTAAGGAGAGTAGGTAGGGGTGATGGTGGAAGAGAAGGGGCTGGGGCTGGGAGGTGATGTGGTGTAAATACTTGGATCGGGTAATAGGTTAGATAATGAGTGAATTTTTAATTAGAATAAATTAGGGGTGTATCTTTTTGTTACAGAACTGCCACGTGGCATTCTGTCTCAATTAGGGGCAAATAAGTGCCAATACTATAACGGTAGAGATTTACTTGAACGAATAGTATAACGGAGCGTTTATTTAAACTATTTTTTATAGTACATGAGTATATTTGATCCTTCTCCGTAAATATAATACTTGTATTGGGAAAAATTGTATTTAAATATAAAGGTACGTGAAACACGTAGACTGGTCAAATGGTCAAAGAATTACAACTAGCCAAGAGGCACGAGTTGCAACAGATACGCGCAAATGGCAGAGGAAGAGGCACGAGCAGTTATACAAATAACTCAGCGCCCATACCTATCTAAGTCATTTATGTCCGAGAATCAAAAGGAATGAATCTAACAATAGAAAAGAGTGCAGATACGACATTTAATAGGCATTAAATGTGGAATACGTTAGAGAATTTGTATTGAATGTAATGATTATGTAACGTAGCATTCAATGTCTTTAATTACTCATAATAGCCTCATTATGATTTGGGCAAAACGTATATCTCCAATATATCTATAAAAGGGAGATATGTGTTCAATTGTAAGGATACGAAATACTATTGGTATAAACTTTGGTTTACTTGTTTTTCTCTTGATTACTCTCTTGCTACCTAAATTGATTCCTTTTATACATTCTTTTGATTATCAGTAACCCGTATTCTTCTAAATTCTAGCTTTGACTAAAAATCTATTTTTTGGTTAAACAAATTGGTTCCGTTACCGGAAAACTGATAATCTATTTTCTTTTCACTTAACTTTGTTGTTGCATCAATTATGTCGAACAACAATGACAACACTCAAGGAAACCAAGAGAACCAACAAAATCAGGGAGATCCACAGAATATTAACATTCAAGTTCCTACTCCATGAGACTCTCCACGGTAATCTCGTGAGGGTATTTCTGATGGGTTTCAAATAAACGAGTATGCTCAATTTGAAAATCCTGAAGTTGTTGATGAAGCTTTGCAGAAATTAATTGCTGCTCAGGTCAACAAAGCTATTGAGGCACTTGTTAACCAGTTACCTGTTGCAACACTCACACCTACTCCAAATAATAACACTCTGGAAAACCCTCGTTCCGGGCTTGTTAACTCAGGGAGCGGGGGAACTCCCAGTGAATCACAGGAGAAAGAACCAGGTACTGTAATTAATTCTGATTTATAAAATTTAGTACTAACCTTGCAGAAACAGCTCAAGGAGCAAAGTGAGCGCATAGAGCAGATACCCGGGGTGCCGCCCATAATCAAAGGGGTAGATATGGATAGATATTCGCAACAACCCTGGAAGCCAAGTGCTGCTCCACTCCCAATTCCAAAAAAGTTCAAAATGCTTGATATTCCAAAATATGAGGGAACAACATACCCACGAGATCACGTGACTGCATTGACAATGGGCGTAAAAGGCAACCATTTGACTAAGCAGGAGATTGAATTAGTATTAGTCAAAAAATTTGGTGAAACGCTCACCAAAGGAGCGCTAACATGATATTCTCTTTTACCCGAAAATTCTATAAATTCTTTTGCTGAGCTTGCAGATTCTTTCATCAAAGCACACTCGGGAGCTCAAAAAGTAGAGAAAAGAATGGAGGATATTTTCAAAATCAAGCAAGGGGACTCAGAACTGCTTAGAGAATTCGTAGACAGATTTCAACGTGAAAGAATGACATTGCCACGTGTACCTGACAACTGGCCAGCTATAGCTTTCACAAGTAATTTAAATGAAAAAAGCTCGGAAGTTGCAGATACAAGCACGAGAAATGAAGGTAAATAGCAATCACAGAAGGCAGTTGAGGACACCACAACACAAACCTCAATTAAACAAGGGCAAACAAATGTAGATTCAAGGCTTGATACCATTCAAGAACCAGAAGAGAATGAAAATATCAAAACAACAATAGAGGAATTAGAGCCTGTTGTGTTATTTGCTCAATGGCCTGATAAAAAAGTCTATGTTGGAGCCAATCTTAGCCAAGGTATGAGAGGTAAGTTAATTGAATTTTTAAAAACTAACGTGGACTGCTTTGCTTGGTCTCACTCTGACATGATCGGAATACCACCAGAGGTGATGACTCATAAACTAAATGAAGATCCATCATACTCTCTTGTCAAGCAAAAAAAAGAAAGCAAGGAACTTTCAAGAATCAGGTGATTCAAGAAGGAGTCCAAAAATTACTAAAAATTGGTTCCATTCGTGAGGTAAAGTATCCTAACTGGTTAGCTAACACCGTTGTAGTTCCAAAGAAGAACGGTAAGTGGCGGGTTTGTGTAGATTATACAGATATTAATAAAGCCCGCCCTAAAGATTCTTTTCCACTACCACACATAGATCAATTGATTGATGCAACTGCAGGTCACGAACTATTAAGTTTTTTAGATGCATATTCAGGTTATAATTAGATTAAAATAGATCTGGGGGAGGAAGAAAAAACTTCATTCATAACAGATAGGGGGACTTACTGTTATAAAGTAATGCCCTTTGGTCTAAAGAATGCAGGTGCAACGTATCAGAGGTTAGTTACCAAAATGTTTCAAGAGCATTTAGGAAAGACTATGGAGGTATATATAGATGATATGCTTGTTAAAACTCAGTATTCAAAAGATCACATATCACACTTATCTGACACATTTTCAATTTTGCGCAAATTTAATATGAAGTTAAATCCCGAAAAATGTGCATTTGGCATTGCATCAGGTAAGTTTTTGGGTTTTCTTGTTTCTAACCGTGGTATTGAAGTGAATCCTGCACAGATTAAGGCCATTGAAGAAATCCCTGATATACTTTCAAACAAGAAAGAAGTTCAAAGATTAACAGGGAGAATTGCAGCCTTGGGAAGATTCATTTCTAAATCATCAGAGAAGTGTTTTAAATTCTTCTCAGCCCTTAAGAAGCAGGATCATTTTGAATGGAATGAGGAATGTCAACAGGCACTCAGGAATTTGAAAACGTACTTATCAAATCCACCTTTGCTGGCAAAACCAAAGGCTAGGGAAAGACTACTCATTTACCTTGTTGTTTCAGAAGTTGCGGTAAGCACCATTTTGGTCCGAGAAGAATAAGGTAAACAATCCCCTATCTATTATGTTAGTAAATCTTTGTTAGATGCGGAGACGCGGTATCCTCAGTTAGAAAAACTTGCACTTGCATTAATCATGACATCTAGAAAGTTAAGACCTTACTTTCAGTGTCATTCTATTGCTGTAGTAACTGTCTACCCTTTACATAATATATTACATAAGCATGAGTTATCAGGTAGGTTAGCTAAGTGGGCAATAGAGTTAAGTGAATACGAAATCACATACCAACCTAGAACTGGTATAAAATCAAAAGTGTTAGCTGATTTCGTGGCTGATTTTAGCCAGGGGATGCAATTAGAAGCGGAACAAGAATTACAGGTATTCAATGGAGCTAACCCGGGAACTTGGACTTTATTCACTGATGGCTCATCTAATGTAAACGGTGCAGGTTTAGGGATTGTCTTGGTACCACCTACGGGTGAAACCATTCGACAAGCTATTAAATGTCACTCCATAACTAACAATGAAGCGGGGTATGAGGCTGTGATTGCAGGTCTAGAATTGGCACGAGAGCTTGACATAAATCAGATTATAATCAAGAGTGATTCGCAACTCGTGGTTAATCAAATGTTGGGGACTTATACAGCTAGGGAAGCAAGGATGCAACAATACTTAGAAAAGGTACGGGAATTGATAAAGCAATTTCAAACCTGGAAAGTTATACAAATACCACGGGATGAAAATGTTGAAGCGGACGCCCTAGCTAATCTCGCATCTGCAGCTGATGTGGCAAGCGATGCAAACGCCTCAGTTATACATTTATTTCATTCAATTCTCGATCCTGATAAGAATGAGGTAAATTTTAAAAAATTAACTTGGGATTGGAGGAACGAGATTTTTGCTTTTTTGCAGTATGATACCGTCCCTGATGATAAGAAAAAAGCTCATACATTTTGAAAGAAGGCTGCTCGGTACTGCTTAAAGCAAGGCAATTTATATCGTAAAATGTTCGGTGGTCCCTTATCAAGATGCCTCGGACCTTCGCAAACGGAGTATGTAATGAAATAAATACACGAGAGACATTGCGGGAATCACGCAGGAGGAAGATCATTGGTAAGAACCTTAATTAGGGCAGGTTATTACTGGCCTAAAATGGAAGAAGAAGTAGAAAGTTTCGTGGTCAAATGTGATAAATGTCAAAGGTACGGTAAAAATATGCATAGACCTGCGGAGTTATTACATCCGGTCATTGCGCCATGGCCATTTATGAAATGGGGAATGGATATCGTGGGTCCATTATCACAAGCAAAAGGACAGGTAAAGTTTATGCTCATACTCACTGATTATTTTACTAAATGGGTGGAGGCAGGAGCATTTAAACAGGTGCTAGAAAAGGAAGTCAAAGATTTTGTTTGGCGGAATATCATATGCCGATTCTGTGTACCAAAGGAGATCGTGTGTGATAATGTCCCTCAATTTATTGGAGCTCAAATCACGGAATTCTTTCAAAGTTGGGAAATTAAAAGGATTACGTCAACAACTTATCATCCGGTGGGTAATGAGCAAGCAGAATCAACGAACAAGCTTATTATCAATAATTTAAAGAAACGATTAAAGGAATCAAAAGGTAACTGGCCTGAAGTGTTACCTGGAGTTTTATAGGCATATCGCACAACTACAAAAACAAGTATAGGAGAAACACTGTTTCATTGGTTTATGGAGCTGAGGCTTTAATTCTAGTCGAGATAGGGGAACCAAGTACACGGTTCACACAGACGACACAAGAATCTAATGATGAGGAGATGCGGGTCAATCAGATTTACTCGAGGGGAGGAGAGAAGCTGCATTAATAAGA